AGCAGCCAAGGACATCCTTCAGAAAGATGTAAAAGATCTCGTGTCAAAGCAAATTTTTGCAAGATGGCAAGGTATTCTTTTTGCTTTTGAATTTACAATCGAACATATTAAAGGCAACACCAATTATTTGCCTGTCTTTTTAACTCGAGAATTTTTGCAGGGAGGGCATAAGTAACCAGCAAAACAAGATGATGGAAATAGTCCCTAGTCCAGGATTATCCCTGGCATCACCATCAACACCAAATGCTCTAATAAGAAGGCAAATACAAGATATTGCTATATCTCCCCTTCAAACACCAATAAGCACCCAAACTCCTAGTGCTAAATCCATATATTTGGAAACAACATATATTCCTTTGCTGATTATAGAAAATGATCATCAATCAAAAAATCCGACTGAAATAGCTGCTTTATACCTCAGGCAGCATATGCATCCTAATATGGGGGACAGATGTAGAGAATGGTACGAAAGTATCCTTATGGAAACAAGATCAGTTTTCATAATTCGTCATTATAGAAATAATTATACTGAAATAACATATTCAAAATTTCAACTCAAAAAGTTTTCTTATAAAGAATGGGGTTTGGATCCTTTAAAGCTAAGGATCATAAATACGAAATGATTTAAAATTAAATCCTATCACTGCTATAAATACATAAAGGCTTGGGATGAAGCCTTCTCATACCAGAATACAAAAAATTCCCATAGCTGGTATGTTCAGTTCAAAATAACTGAGCTAAATAAGTTTCCAAACTGGTTTAAAAATTGGTTCTCTATATGGGGATCAACGAACCAAATTCTATCAAGAGAACTACAAATTTCACAGAGTATAATAGACAGTCTTAAAAAAGACTACCATATATATTTTATGACTTTATATCAGGTCCCGTGGATTTTCAAATGGGATTATCAAGTCTCAGTAGATGATATGGACAAGTGAGATTATATCCCTGAATTAAGAAGGCAGATTCATATCAAATGGTGGGGCAGCTATAAAAATGAATCCTTAAATCCAAACAAAATAAAAATGAAACTTATACCTTCAGTTTCACCCCAAAAGCAAAAAATGGAAATATCAGAATATGTTGCAATATTACAGCAACAAAACCCCAAACTATCCAAAGAAGAGCTTAAAAGGAAGCTCTGGAGCGTAATAGAAGATAATGAGGAAAAAATATCCACCTCCACTCGAAGTGACGAACAGAAGGATTACAGTCTGATGAACAGTGGCGATTGCGCCGGAATTGAATTTTCTTCAAATTAAAGAAAATTTATGGGGGACCAGAACAACTCCAACCTATCAAGTGTCCGAGTCACTGTAGCCACTGCCGATTAAATTACTGTAGCCACTACCAACAGTCACCGTAGCCACTGCCGACAAAATTACTGTAGCCACTACCGACAGTCACTGTAGCCACTTTCGACAAAGTCACCAACCGACAACCACTGTAGCCACTAACCGACGGAATCTTTCACTGTAGAAGAAAAGGTGTCGGTGCGGATTTCAAAAGTTTTCAAATCCGTTTTATTTCAAAGGCTATTAAAGGGGAGGGCTCCCCTCATTCATGGCATCCGAAGTTTTCCTAAGTTTACAGTCCTCTCTCTGCTCTCTTCTCTACAGTCCTCTCTGTGCTCTAGTCCCCTCTCTGCTGTATATCCAGTAGTGCTTGTAGCCATCTGGTTTCTTTTCTAATACAAGTGTAAGGACTTAAGACTGGTATGTGCGACTGCTTTTGGAAGGAAGTCCCTGACTATATCCCAGAGCAGCTGAAATTATTTACCAGCTTGTGTTTCTGTGAAATGTGAGTTTGCTTTGATTATTAACTTTGATTGGTGTTTCATTATACGCTCCTTACATGGTTTATGTTCATGATCATGTTTACTCTGTGTTCTGTTGTTATTTGATATATATATATATATATATATATTCATAAAGGTTAAATACAACATGAATATATTAGTATAAATTAGATATTAGTATAAATAAAGAAACTATAATTTTTATAGCTTTTTATATTTTATATAAAATATAGGCCAGGTCCAATTGACCTTGACCCAGGTCGGGTCTGGGTCTTACTTAAACCTAGTTCCTCACACACATACCCTATTATTCATCTTGTTCAATGTGAGAATGTTGAGGTTGATTTCTCAACACTAACTAGATAAAAAATTGGGAAAATAACATATATATCCGTTATATTTACTGTTATTACAGGATTACCTCAAAGTTTCTGTTATTACACCTATACCTACTTTTTCACCATCTTAACAATTTTTAAAAAAAGGCAGAAATGCCCATTCTCGGTTTTTCAAAAACCGAAATGGGAATGCTTTCAGAAATGTTCAAACCATTTAAGCCCAAGGTTTCTACCATTATTGGTTCAAGAAAACCATTCATGCCATCTCCCAACAATGGTAGCAAAAAGGTTCATTTTTTCCTTCTCCCAATTAAAAAGGTTCAATTTTTTTCTTTTTCCCCCATTAATTGTTTCGTTTGGTATAGCTGTTTCAAGAAAAATAACTCTCTCTCTCTCTCTCTACACATACAAAATCCACAGGTTGAATATTGAGGAAAACAATTCAAACTCTGTTTAGACCCCAAAAAAGATTTCAGTATATTCTCTCTCTCTCTCTCCTCTCTCTCTTAAGGACAGAAACAAATGTTCCAATTTCTCACCATTAAGTTTTTGAGGCAAACCGTTTATAGTCTTTCTAAAAACCCACAAAGAAAGGTCCAATCTTTTTCCAATTGGTTTTCCAGGACAACCATTGAAGTCCTCGATGAAACCCTCCTTCAAACATTCGAAAATGAGAAGAAAAATATTTAGAATCCTTTTTGCATATACCCCACCATAATAAGCCTTACAGAGGCCTTTACAAGCCTTACAGAGGCCTTTACAAGTCTTACATATGCAGAAATCGGATAGGTTAGCTTCTAATCTCGTTGCTTTTTCTTACTTCAATTTCTTGCTTTTTTCTTTCCCTTGAAATCTACTATGATGGTGAAATTTGCTTATGTATTTTTCTGGGTACTTTTTCCTTTTTTGAAAATTTATCAACATTTCTTTGCTTGAGGCTCTGTGATTCCACTGCAAAGTTTCATCCGCTATTTTACTTGGCAAGGGGAAAATGAAGTTAGGGAAAGGATCCCTCTAACCCAACTCTTTCCTCCCTCTATCGCCTCTCTTTCTCTCTCATGTGAAAATTTTGAACATTTCGGTTTTTTGAAAAACCGAATTTAGTCCCATTCGGTTTTGTAAAACAGAAAATAGGCATTTCTGTCTTGGTTCTAAAAAAATTGTTAGGATGGTGAAAAAAATAGGTATAGGTAATAACGAAAACTTGGAGGTAATCTCGTAATAACAATAAATATAATAGGTCTATATATTATTTTCCCTAAAAATTTTGCTACATATTAAATATGATTGTGTCTAAACAGGGTTTCAAAAAACGCTAGGCGGCCTGCCTGGCGCTCAGAACCTCGGGCGCCCTGTGGTGCAAATTCTTAGATTTTTTTTATATATTGCTATCTAAATGCACATATATGCATATATTTGTGTCAAATTTTATAATTTATTCCATTTGAAAATATCGCAAGTTTGCAACATACGTTTTTATATACAAACATATCACGTGTCTCAGCCTCTCAGGTAATCAGGTTGGGAATAAACTTATTTAAAATTTTGAACCATACAAAACATTTACAAAGTCTAATTGAGCTACGAGTCAACTCAAAAGTCTTCTAATACCATAGCACCCTAAATATAATTTCAATCAGAAATTTTTTTTTTCAATGCACAAAAATTACTTTCAATTCTCAGAAATTACTTTAGATTCTCAGAAATAAGTTTAAGATTGAGGGTTTCTTGTTGTTTTTCACTTTGGGGTTCAAAAATAAACCCCAAAACGTTTTTTATACAAACTTGGGCCTTTTGAGCGAACTGCGCCCACCCAGAACTGGGTGTTGGGCGCCCGCCTAGGCGCCAGGCGGACTGTTTTTGAAACATTGTGTCTAAAAAAAAACCCTTGGCATGGTGAGATAATGATGAGGATTTTTTTCCTTTTCCTATGAGCAGGAAAATGTTCAAGATATGTCCCATTTTCAGTAGATCTATGTGTGGAACAAAGTTCAATGTTGCCTAACTATTTCATGGTGCAATATGGGAATCAGTTTTTTATTTTTGTAGGCACCAGGCTGTTGGAAGTTACCGCATTTGGAATTAGTATTTCGCTTACAGCTAATGGCTTCGAATTCAGGTTTTTGATGTTAGTAATTAATTGATATACCAAAAGATGATGTGAATGCTTTTCCCGAAGGTTTTGTCTACCAGCACTTGTGCATTGGATCCTATTAGAATTCTGAATTCTTGCTTGCGCAAGAGTAGTGCACAGTGACAATTTAATTTTATTTTAGTTTTTAATTGAAGTGGTTTTTTTGATGCCTAATCCACTATACTTGTAATGTTTAGGCAATTTACTGGAGAAAATCAGACAATCAGATTGTAAAATGTTTTGATTGATATTTGTTCTATAAAATTAAAATGATATGGTCATTCTTCATATTCTGGTATTGTAAGTGCTTTTCTTGCTTTGTATATCCATGGGTCAATTGCATGTAAATGAAAGCAGTCCATAGTGATTCAGATCTTGACTGTACTGAGGAAGTAAATAAAGATCTTTAACTTTGCCATCCTATGTAAGACAAATGATTATTTAGCACTTCTGTAAGTGATTGATGGGTATGAAAGTTTATTATGTAATCTGTTGATCAGATGGGTATAAGAGATCATTGTGCAGTGGTCTCCCGTCTTTGAGACACTTGTACTTATTATTTCCTGAAAAATTTGTCATGGTAGTATTAAATAAAAATGTGCTTTTCAATGTGAAATCATACTGATTCAGAATGCTGAATAGTCGATTATCTTGTGACATTACCTTTGCTTCTTTCTTGATGATTTCAGTAACCTTGTTATTTAATTTGATTTATTTCTCCTTCCAGAATATATGACCTGTGCGTGGGCACTGGTGCTTCCCCCATATTGGGATTCGAACAGCTGCCACAATTCCCAAACATCCAACAATGGCTTGGTCTTGCTGTTGCTGGTGTAGTGGAACTTGGATATATTGTTGAGGCTCCTGTCATCCAAACTGCAACATCAGTTGTTCCTCTTGGGTGGAGTGGGATTCCTGGAGAGAAGAATGGGCAGGAGCCTTTAAAAGTTGATGTCATTGGTTATCGACTACACCTATGTACTCTTGTTGCTGCTCAAGTCAATGGTAACTGGTATTGCTTCACCTCTCTGTTTTTATCAAAACTTTCTGTACTGTTTCCTGTTTGGCCCTATGATTCTAAGAAGTTCAAAATATCTAGGATGCTGCTATGCAGTGTCATTGGGATCATGTTGCTGAATAAGTATTGTCTGCGTCCGACATCGTGACTGACTTGTTTGTCAATTTACAAAGTTTGAGTTTTAGGGTATCCACTCGTGCTTCGAGAAAAATTTCTGTTGAACTCTATTTTCAGTTTCTGTTAATCTGAAAGGTGTTTTGCTTCTCCCTCAGAAATTTAGTGACTGAAGTGGTTCTGTTATCCTTGCAATTTTCATGCTTGAACTAATGGAAAAGATTATTTTGAAGAAATCATCAATAAAAATGGCATAGTTGGAATGTGTCACATGTCCATCCTTTACAATAATGAAGGTGGCTTAATAAAAATGCCTTCTTCAAGGACCTTTTTTTTTCCTCTGAAGCTATAAGGATTAACTTTGTTTGTCTGATGATTTTGGTGGCGCTTGTGGCCATTACGTGTAGTATTATTTCTGTTGTTTTGTATTGTGTTAGGTGTCTTAGTGGGTTAGTTTTGTCAATGTGGGTGCTGCTCCTAATCATTTGAGGTTGCTTCCTAAAGCTTGGGTGACTTATCTTCTGTTTCTCCCTTGATTTAAGCATTCCATCTTACATTGAGCCTGGAATATGAATAACTTATCTTAAGGACTACTTAGGCACATGCGTAATCATTCAAAATTTGGTATCCTGCCCATGTCTGGAGGTATGGATCTCTAGACATTGAGTCTCATTTATCTGGAGTGTTTTTTGATCTTGAGCTGCAGCCTTGTTGATCATTAGCAGCTGCAGACTTGTTGATCTTTAGTAGAAATATTTGCTAGTATCAGTCCAAGAATCCTGCAAGTCCTCAATTTGTGATTCAAAATTCAGGTGGAAGAGAATGTTTGTCCTCCCTGTTATCTGCTGAGACACAGGCCGAACTTCTCTACTTTTTATGTTGTCTCACTTTTAACCGTCTTGTTTGTGTAAACACTCAAGGCACATTGTCCTATCTCATTTGTACAAAGGCATACTTGTCTTTCTGCTCATACACATGCGAATAAAACCCCCCTTTTGGTTCTATTATAATTTACGACATTCTACAGGGGCACAAGTTGACATGGTTATAGAGTCAACACATTGAATGAATCCTGAGTTTCAGTTTCAGTTCTGCAACAGTGCAAATGCACCTTTGCCTTGGTGCATCAGAAGATAACATCCACGGGTCAGTGTAAGAGATGAACATCGTTAGGGTGTTTGACCCTGATCTTGTTATCACCCATATGGTGGTCACACATGTCCACCAATACTCGTTTGAACTAATGGGCCTAGTTTCTGGTGATTTACTTCTTCCTGTTGCTCTGAGCATTTTGTTTGGATCTTCTATGGGCTTTTATGGTCGAATCCCTAGATTGAGAGATTCATTTTGGCAAGGCATGTCCTCTCTTAAGAAATTTAAAGTTTCAATGAAATCAAATAGTTTTGTGTTTATTTGCTTTGTGTCTTGTGTTGTGATCTGCACGTGCAGATCTCCCCTTGCATGTCGATTCAGACATGTGAAGTATTATTAAAGAAGGTTTTCTTTAGGAAATGGATCCCGATTCCTGGAAGTTGGGAATCTAAATTCCATCTCACAAAATTTGCAATTCTTAGGTGCACATTCTTGATCCCAATTTTTATGAATAGTGAATTCATGTTTTTGGAAGCTAGATTCACTACGTTAAAACCTGGGGTTCATAGATGCATCGAACAATATTTCGATCAACATGGAGTTAAAGTTTTAATAACACAAAATCAATATTCAAATGCAAATTTCTAGATTTACAAAGTATGATAGTAATGTCTTTTGTAGGTAAGTGTCAACAAGAATCTTGAACTTTCAACTTGAGCCTTGTGGGTATCAATGGTAAGTACTTAACCAGTTCATGGCCCTCCTCACGAAATTAGAAATTTGTTTCTCAGTTCTGATAGACCCCCATGTTGAGAGGTTTCTCAATAAAGCGTTGAAGTAGAGGCACTCTAGAAGCTCGAGGTCCACATCATAGAGACTCGTTTTCGAGTGAGAAGATGCATATCTTTCTTTCATAATCAAAAGATGCATGAAAAACACATAAAAGCATATTGGCTTGGTTCCTCACTTTCGATAGACCCTGGTGTTGAAAGGTTTTTCAATATAGCATCGAGGCATATGATTGTTTAAGAGCTCAAGGTCCACATCTCAAATACTCTTTTCTAGTTAGAAAATTTCCTCATTTCTTCCTCAAAATAAACATTAGAAACACATATGACACATTGTTTTCTTGGAGTTATAGAAACTCCAAGAAGGTACCTATGTAAGGGAGCTTGACTTTGTTTTTATTAGTTGTTGAGAGCTACATTAAAGGAACTCATTACACCGAGACGATTGTTAGAGGGCGCTGTCAAAGACGTTGATCCAAAAACTATGGGAGCTCTGGATAATTGTTCTCTATTTACAGATTCTAGAATTCAAGATTATAAATAATATACAACTTTTATCTGTTCTTGCTTAAAACTTCTGGCACGTTCCCAAGTGGATTGGTGCTTGATTCCCGAAAGGTAGGAATCATAATAAATTCATGGGACAACGATTCCAGAAATACGGGAATCATGATTCTATTTCATCAAATCGTGATTCTGGATGACTCTGATTGATGTGCAATTCCAGAAAGGTAGGAAACTCGATTCAGATTGATGGGATACCAATTCGAACAAGATAGGGACACAATTCTTATTTTATTGGATCACGATTCCGATATAATGGAGAATCATGCAACAAATGATTTGCATGGCACGGACGACGATTCCTGTTATAGGAATCATTTTGTCACCCTACGATTCTGTGATTCTGATTCCTGAAATGATTTGGAATCGCATGCGTTTCCAACAACTATATTCATAACTCATACCTACCATGCGCATTATGTTCCAAGTTCGAAGCATTTGGCCTTGCAATTTTGGATGCCATAGTGTTTGTGTCCAAATTTCTTTCTGGACAAAGATCTTTTCCCTTAGATGTTTTGTAAAGTTTTGGTTTTTATTTGTGTGCTTTTTTTCCCTGCAAGATGGTCTTCAATCTAAATGATTGCCAGCATGTGGTGGAAAAAATTGCATGTTTGAATATTTATCCTTGAAGGATGTGATTTATGGTACATTGATAATATAAGAAAGAAAGAGAGACAAAAAAAGAAAAGGGGAAAGACAAAAGATTGAGAAATTGTGCTCTCGTTCATAGTCTGCAAAGGAATCCACTCTAAAAGGAATTCACAAGTCTCTAAGAAAAGGAATTCTTCTTTTATTTTTCCATGGTGAAAGAACATATATGACAATAAAGAAGAAAACTCTTATCCTGCTTGGAGCTCATGTAGAACCCCATAATGAATGATTGGGTTTTCAAATTAAAAGTCCACCTCATCTATTTCCTCTCCAACAATTTTTAGAAGGGAAAATATCTCCATATCCCATATTTTTAGGTTTTATTTCTTGATAAATCCAAGGTTTCAAATATATCTTCTAACCCCCTGGTCACTGTAAACTTATTTTTTAACCTAAACAAATGTGAGAAAGACGTGCTCTTTTTAAACCCAATCCTTTCTCTCTTCACTTATATACCCCAAACTTCTCTCTTTCTCTCTCTTCTTGCATCTCACTCTCTCTTTCCTCCCATGTTTCTCCAAACACCTCTCTCTCCCCTCCTGGTAACCTCTCACCTCCATGAAGCCCTTTTCTCTCTCTAAAAGTTTGGGAGGATGGCTTTTAGAAAAGGTATGTCTTTTTAGATTTGTTTGGCCTAAAAAAACAGATTTAAATTAGCTCAGGGGGTTAGAAGAAGAAATAAAATCTACAATTTTTATGCCCTAAGATATCTTTTAGAACCTTGGGGCTATTGTGAAATGAAACCTAGGGGCTATTGTGAAATGAAACCTAATAATAGGGGGTATGGAGATATTTTCCCTTTTTAGAAATAGGGAAAGGAAGTGGACTACCTAAGGGATGCATAACTCACATTTAGAATTCATATATATGGGTGAATGGTAGCTATCCTACTTTCCACTTTTAATCTCTTTGGATGGATCATCCTCCTGCGGTCAGGGAGAAGCTTTCCCTTAAGCTTAATGACTTCAAAACATGCCTTGGACCCTTATGCCTTTGTGCCCATGTCTATGTGCTTTTGTATTTTCATCTTCTTTCGCCAAGTGGGCTTTTGTCTTCTTCTTTAGACATTTAAAAGCATGGTTCCCTGTTTCATTACATTGGTGACCAATAACCTTGGATAAATCTGCATGATCATGTTCTTTCTTTTCATTATTGAATTTTGGGTTGTAAGAAACCTGCCTTTAAGTAAGGAATCCTTTAGCAGTGCTCCAATGCAATTTCGTTTCCACTCGAAGGGCAATTTGAAGAGCGTCGCTTAAGGTCCATGATCGATGTAGAGAAACCTCGTCCATAATAGCTTATAGGAGTCTTTTAATATAACGAGAAACCCTCAATCTTTTATAGGTTGTTTTGAGTTACATGCCTATAAAATTTTGGGGAAGGATTTTTTTTTTTTTGTATCCTTTTCTTCATCTTATTCCAATCAGATATATTCATCTTCCCATTGTCAAGTCCAGATTTTTGAACTTGTTCTCACTTGGATGCTGCATAGCTATGGAGCTTGGTTGCAATAGGTTTAACCTAAGTTGTAGTAGCATCTAGTTTCTTAGGCATCTCGTAAATTATTCCTGTGTATTTGTCTGTTGACTTCAGACCTTGGTTCTATGTACTCGCTTCAATCTTTCGAGTGCTCTCACCCATACAATAAGTAATTCAATAAGTTATATACTGATGTGGCTGTATCTTTGGAGTGTACTCGCTGATACCGGTTGCATCTCGGAATCTTACTGAGTTGGGGGGTGTTTACACTCGAAGAAAGCGAGACCATCTCGTGCCTCCAGGTGT